CCAGATCAGACAGTGCCTCGCCTTACTTAACCCCGCCCCCCTCCCCGCCAGAGGAGACGGACCAGTCAGCGCCTCACCTCCGCAGTATGCATCTGGACGGCTCCGTGAGACGGGTCAGCGATCACTGACGGCTGAGTGCAGACTGGATCCCCCGCCCAGCGGGCGCCCCCGCCTCAGGAGAGGGGTGCGGGGGCGACGACTGACCGCGAAGGCCGCCCAGCGGAGCAGCGCAACGGGACAGCGGGCTGCGTGGGAAATGTGTGGGCACGAGGGGGAGCTGTGGGGTGGGTTGTGGTGAGGCCAGTAATGTAAGTAGTGGTGAAGGCAAGGAGGGAACAGGGAGCACGTACCCCTAACCCAACCCCACCCCTTCGACCCCGAGGGTCGGAGGAGCCCCTCAGGATTAACGAATGAGGGTACGCCTTGCGGACCCAAAGGCCTCGGAGTTCGCATTCAGGGGCCCGGCCGGCAGGTTCATGCCCTTTAATGCCAGTATGACGGCCCTTTTCACCGATCGGGGGCCCTGAGTCTCGTATTTGAGATCTTTGGGTCTGCCTGACATTTGAGGTCACCGCCTTACGGACAGGGTCCTTAATGTGACCTACAGTCAGCCCCTTGGCCCTTCGGTCCCTTCAGTGTTCCAATCGGGCCCTTGGACTTTAGTAACCAGGGACTCCTTCCAATACGGCTCCCAGCCGACACGGGGTCACTTGCCGACACAGAGCACCCGGTTAGGCGCTGTGCGCCCCTGCCTTCACAGAGGTCCCTCATTGTTTCACCAACCCCGATCAATGCACATCGCTGGCTCCGGCATTGTTCGTGGTTGGGAAATGTGCCCCGAGGGCTAAGACCGATACGAAGCCTACATATCACCCGTGCAATTCCACGCCCTATTATCCCTTGGTTTCGGCTACTGGGCTGCCTTCTAGAGCCTTTTATATGGAAGCATTATCGGCTCTCTGGCCCACTACCGGCGAACCTACTGACCGGACGGGGATGGGCGCGGGCGGTTGGTTTGCAGACTGTGCATCCCCTGCACTTCGCAGCTCATTTCTCGTCTTTATCTGGTCTGTTTGCCGACATCCGAACAGCGGTTTAAAAAAAAAGATCGCCGCCAAACCGGCCCATCCGTCGGCTGGGCCCGCGCGCAGTTCACGGCATGCCCAACACGACTCATCCTGTCGCTAGTGTACTGACCCGCTCCCTCGTCCGTCAAACCCTCCTGGTCTCGTGTCGTTACAATGAAAGGGTGACGAGATCCGGATCCGGTATTCACTCATGTTGTGTTTTGTGTTGTTTCCTCGTCCTTCAAACCCCCTGGTCTCGTGTTGTGATGAAGAAGTAACGGGGTCCGGGCCCGGCACCTACTCATGTTGTGTTTTGTGTTGTTTCCTCGTCCTTCAAACACCCTGGTCTCGTGTTGTGATGAAGAAGTAACGAGGTCCGGGCCCGGTACCTACTCATGTTGTGTTTTGTGTTTCAGGTCTGCAAGCTTTGCGGTTGCTGTGGCTGTCGAATGGAGTGGTTCCTTTTTGGCGGAGTTACAATATCTCAGGAAAGCTGATCCTCTTCAAAGAGGTCGCATGTAAATGCTTCGGAAATATTAGACCACATCTTGTGAAAAATTGTGCCTCTAGCTGCTGAGAACTTCATGACTGTGGGACCAATGGTAAGATAAACAGCCTGTTGAAAAGCGTAGCTGATGGCACAGGGTCGGGCCGCTGTAAGAAAATTTCCAATCCGTTGGAATTTAGACAAACCTGGTCACCAAGGCGAATCCCTGCTCAAAAGCATTTGGTTGTCATGTTTGATGTGGCGGTTCTAGACGGAATTATAAACAGACTCCCATAAAATCAAGACTAGGCTGGGAAAACGTATGCAAATCTATGATAAAGATATGATGACTGATGCTTACAATGGCGTGTACGGCAATAGGCCAAGATCATCTGCTCATCGACTGCGTGGAACTTTTAAGATTGTGTGCCTGGTCGGGCCGGTCACGTTTTTTGGCGTGGTTATATCATAGCAACCGCTGATGTCACCCGCTACGCAGCTTCAACAAATTACATCGCAATTCTCTACACATTTAACTTACTTCTTGTCATTTTACAAGCAGACAATTATGTACGCTTCGAAAAGTACACGCATTGAGTCTAACCTTTTCGATTAGGCGTGATTTTCGCGCAAGGTTCACTATCTCCAAAATCCCAAAAGCTTCCCCAACTCGATTTACATAGGAGACGTACAATTGGTATGCTGCCAAAAAAACAACTCTACAACACAGACAAAACAGGACTATGTTTTGGTGGACGGATATTGTTGGATAACGAGACCATCACCGGCCTCGACAGAGCAGAAAACCAACAACTGTAATGGCATAAGTGTGCACAGGATTTTGCAGCTGGTCACAGGCTTTCAGTGCAAGCAATGGATCTGCCGGTCTGCGGGGATTTCCAGGATGGATGTCAGACCTTGGAATTCACAGCAGATAAAAGCGTAGAAACCGACTGTACGGATGGAGACGGATGAGAGCTTTTAATCAGCAACAGATCAGGGTACTGTGCGACGTGGAAGTGCGTTTGTTATCGATGTGGCTGCGGGCAATATAATGCTCCTCGAAATCGCAGTCGAGCTCTAAACACTTATTTCGTTATTTATTGATGAGGATGATCGCTAACAGCCTCCTCCTCCATCCGTCCACACACACGCACACTTACATGCGAAGTCAGCAAATTAAAGTATGCAGAACAATGAACGCATGCAGAGCATGCACCATATCCGCGAAAAAAGTCGATAGAAGTCATTACATTGAAGTTATGTATCCGATTCCAAGGGTTTTGAATGCATCAAGATAATCTGCAAGCAGGTCGGCGTCCAGGGTGGTGCTACACGGCGCCCTACAGAACGAGATGGGGGAGATATCACGGTGTTCACCCGGGTTAGAGCACCTTGAACAGCCTTTCTGTGCGGGTCGAACGAGCAGGGGGAGAAGCCTTTCGATCCGGCTCGTAAAAAGCAAACCCGCCATCCAAGGAATCGGTTGACTCGACTGATCACTTTTCAGGCATGGGTGGCAAGGGCCAACTGTGTGTCCCCGCGATTTTCCGAAAGTTTCACTTTTGGCACCCACTTCAAGCCGCTCGTAAGAGCCCACCCCGGCCGGCCGCTTCCGTCCACGTGTGTGTGTGTGTTGGCGCGGGGTGTCCAGTCAGGTGCCGTGGCCAAGCCCAGGATCTTGTGCACTCGACCGTGACGGAACAACCGGGCGAAATCGGCACCGCTCGCGCTGCGGGCCGCCGTGCTCTGGCCGGGCGCCGGTGAGAATGGGGCCCTCTCACGGGTGAGTTGGACCCGCCGCCGTCTGCGCATGACAGCAGAGCTGCTGGAGACACTGGTGCCAGTGGGGTGGCCATGTGTGGGAGCGGGTTGACCAATAAAGGCTGAACCGAGCCTGTAGATGTTGCATGCGAGTTGTAGGTGGTGCAATTGCTATGATCTCATCAGAGTTGGGAAAGGACACAGGTTGTGTCACACCTGCGGTGTGCAATGTAGAGGGCATCATGTCAAGTACACAGTTTCCATGGTCAAATTGCAGCATAACTGCATCTATCGAATGACCGTCTTGGTTGAAGCAATGAGCCGCAGTTTATTTTTATCGGGTAAATCTCATCACGACGGTGCTATAAAAGTGTCACGATTTCGCCATTGATTGCGGAGAGCATCGAGACAATAGTCATGCTTTCAGTGGGCGTATACTAAATCTGATTGTGTCAGCCCACTTTGTGCCAGCGCTGAACGGAGCTCGGTGCAATATATCCAGCCAATGAATATGTGTATGTTGAGGTATTCAGTTATAAGTGACTTCATTGATCAATTAGCGTAAGAGTTCATCACATGAATAAACATTTCAATTCTGACTCGATGCTTGGCACTTTATCGTGGCAGGACGGATATTTTTGACATAATTCAATTCCCGGAGGTAATTCAGGGCTCCAGTCAAAAAGCGAACTGCCATAGTGCAACAGTGGTCGTCGGCGCAGCTTCAGAAATGGATGCGGTACCATCACTGCCACGCTGCCAGGCTGAGTCATCTGTTCGTATGTTATACCCACATACTATCGCCGATGTTTCCAAACAGGAAGTTTCCCTTGCCTTACATCCCGTGCACCTCCTTACCAGAGTGCTGGAGCGAGGCGTGCTCACAAGCCTGTGATCAGGGCTTACAAGGAGATAATTGCACGCGCCGAGAGATCAGGGCGCACCATTGAAAGCAGTCACGCGCACCGCGATCGCTCCGCAACAGGCCGTGGTCACGCACGCTCAGGGCAGGGTATCAGGAGTCATCGTGCAAACAACCGGAACATCCAAACAGTAGGGCGCCTCGTCCCTTCACCAGAGCACCCTCAAAAGAAATGACCCAGGCCCCAAACCTGTCGGGGCAGCCTGGAGACGGCTCGCCGGCCCGTTTTGGGGCGCGTCGACTGCGAGGACGGCGCGCCGGTGGAAACGGAAAGTGTTCCGGCGCCGTCCCGTCCCAGTCCGCTGCGCGCGCGCCGAAGCGGGGCCGCCGGTGCTGTAATTGGTCGGCTGACGTGGCCCGCCGCGGCAGCACTATGACGCTACGGGATCTGATGCGGGGACCTGGCAGGGCGCCGAGTAGGTGATGGATCGGAGTAAGAGAAAAGCGAGCGCGGTTCCCATACATGTCGCGTCCTCACCGAGCGCCGCATGTCTTCATGAGTCAGCGATGATGTTTTAATTGTAATGCAGTTGACAATGAGTGTGCGTTATGGTGTCCTAAACCATATCGACATTGGAAGAGCTTAACTGGACTGCATGACGTACCCAACATGTTCGCTGTTTTATCCCGCTGGTCACACTCGCTGTCATCTGGCCGACAGCCATTTACAAACGAAGAGAAAAAACACACATTTTGACAAAACGATGCCGAAAACAGCAGCCCACAAAAAATCATTGCGGCTATGGTAGAGTTCACTTACCTTACATGAGTTGATGCAATGCCCAGTTTTCTTAATGCTCTCGACCAAACAAATGTTCGCTCATCTACACCTCCGATGTCTTGTCAGGAATCCCGAAAACGATACAGCTATAACTTACACTAAAACATAGCTCTGCTAGCTCAGTCACCTGTCCTTTTGAGATCAGCACTCAGCAGCGATCAAGCACCACCGTCACATTCCCCAGCGGAGACAGCGTCGGCCCTCGGCCAGACGTGCCGTCGCTACTCCGGCGGCAGCAGCGGCGCGGTCCGAGCGCAGCGGCGCGCACGTGCGGGCCTGCAGCGATCCGCTGCTCCCCGCTCTGAGCGGCGCGAGCAGCGGCGCCGGTGGCGACGGACTGGCGCAGCGACTGGTGCCGCCAGAGCCCCACCGATAGAGAAAGTGACGGCCGCCGTGCAGTCCCGTCCGGACCGCCTCCTCAGGGTACCGAGAGCAAGCGGACTCTCTTGGAGCAGCCGCACCAGCTCAGCCGCATCTCGTCTGGGAACAGCAGGCCATCGAAGCAGGGCCTAGTCCAAATAAACTGGATTAGAATGCGCATCTACCCACCAAATCACGCACAAAAATCACGCTTGTGTGTCTCACATTGCAGTGCTTGTCTCAACTAAACGGGCGCACAAAGGAAGCAAGGGAGCTGAGTTAAGATTTTATGTATCTTCTTTTCCTAGAGCCGCTGATAATAACATGGAAAGTGAGCAGAGATAAAGGAGCTCAGTTTTATTTTGTAAACGTTGTAGCATCTATAGGTTCACAGCTGACGAGCCCACGCGGTGATCAGAGGATCCATGGCTGGGCAGCATGGACCACGCTCCAAACCTACACTGAAGTAAATACGACGATCACGCCATCACCAGGTCATATGCGACTGGAGCCAGATAAATCAGTGGCTTTGTAAAAACAGTTGAAGATTTCAAAAGTACCAGAAATAATGCATCAGTATAGAGGAAATGAACAGCGGCATAAGCGTCTCCAACCCGTCAAGCCGTAAGATGTTCCAGGCTGGCTGAACGTCGCATATGACATTCTATTCTCATGTCTGACGTTCCAGCATGACCGAAATTAGTTCCCAACTGCTGCAATGGCTCGGAGCTTGCTCCCTGAACCATTGCGTACATATAAGGCAATAAGATCAGCCCTTAGCTACTGAAACAAGAAACAAATATGAAAACGGTCTCATCCGCACAAAACAGAATCTCGAAATTCCCGATCATGAATACCATGGTGCTGTGGAGCAATGGGTACACATAATACGTGATCTGCTCTTGAATTGATAAAGTCAACTGGTCTTTCCCGCAGCAGTGGGGAAAAACCTTGACAACATATTCCCGCTTGCTTCGCTGCACAGGACGACGCTGTTGTGCCTGCAACTCCACTACGAGGACCTTACGTTAAACTGTGTCTCAACAACATACTGTGGATCAGGCGTAGCGTAGACAGAAATGCAAAATTTCTCCGATCTCCTGCGAATTTGGACCTAATTCCTGCCAAATTTCTCAGTATTTAAAGTAAACAACATGGCTCGGGGGGGAGGGGGCATTGCCCCGTGGCCCCATTTTGTTGCACTTCTGAATTAATAGTTTGTAAGCTGCGTAGCACTAATGGATCGGTCTGTAATGGAACACCTTGCCCTCGCAATGTTGTTCCGCATGCTCGGGATATCGAATATATATGGTAATGGTGCATGCCCCCTTTGCCGCGCATAGAGCCTGCGTCGTTAGTCTCAGGTCACGCCGACTTTTGCTACCTCATATTGATTGGCGTCCCAGTTATGCAAAGCATGCTTTGATTATTTTTCTAAGATTCCAGTGCATGCGTGAATTGACGACTCCCTGTTAAACGTGGTCAATATTCTGCGATGCCATTGCCTCCGCCCAATCGCAGTGGCAGCCCACCAACGCTGCATAGTCTGCGCTCGCGACCACCACTTACTCGCAGCAGGAACACATTTATCTGTGCATAGTTCACCACGTCAAAAAAGCGCACAATCAGGGTGGTGACTACCACAGATAACAGTTTTTGGCCGTCGCATGCCTTGAACCGCGGCAGCGGCAACTCCTGAAAAAATATATACTGCGCACACAGGATACCACAGTTACAATTCCAAAACATGTACTGATGGACAACTGGAGCAGTGGCTGACGAACACCGCACAGGTTTGTCATGATCTTGATCCCTGTATCACTGCATTGGTAGGTAGCTTTTTAACAATATGTTCAGCCCCTATACGGTTCGCTACGGCCAAAATATAGGCTGAGGCCAAAGTCTAAAAAAGCTTCTGGAATAGCCTGCCGTTGGGGGCATAAGATTAAAGTGCCCTGGTCGGTACCGCATGTGAAACGCGTAGCAGTCTTAAGCGTTGATGTCTGTAGGGCGCTTTAGGCTGAAGGACCACCCCTTGTAACAGTGAGGGTGCATCACGACGTGTGGAACATTGTCGTGCGGAAGCTCGGCAGGGTAAGCAGCTTAAATGTCTGAGCTATTTCGTATGTTTAACACAAATAGTAAGTGCCCCCAAAAAGGAGGTATTCCGTTCACTGCAGCTCAAGCTATTGCGACATGTTCTCTCAGTCCTCAGGTCGGCTCTGCTCGTCTCCTCATGCATGCTAGGTTTTGCCGTCACGGAAGCCGCCAATATGCTCCCTTTATCGCATGCACTACGGCCGTCACCGATGTCGGGGCGGCAATGGCTGCGCTTGTGGTATGTGTTAGTGCCACCGCCATCGGTGCAGCCGTCTGCGATGGGCGTCTCGGTAATACGTCTGGACACACCAACACACGCCAGCACACACAGAAACGCACACATGCGTATGCCGCTGACTTTGCTGTTTAAATATCTAGTTTCCTCGAACGCCTGCCTTTTGAGGCTAATATTCATGAATTTAACTTATTTCAAGGACAGCGACACAGCTCTAGTTGCTGTGCTGTGCTGTGCTGTGGTTTGATTGCAGCTGAAAAAGACGTGAGACTGCATCTCATTTCAGTAAGGAAACCAGTAAACTCCCTTTACTACCTCCGTAAGGAATGCTTAAGGACGAACGTCGTAGGGAAATATGCTTACCATTGGATTCAGGGCACCACACTACATTAGATACAAAGTCATTTTTGCCTCTGCGCCGGAAGAACCTTTTGGACCCTCCTCTGCTGCAACTAGAAGTCCACTGAGGGGAGTGGTATGTGCACACCCCTGTGTGAGGCGCTAGGTGTATTCTTCGCGAGTTGCAGTCAGTGATGATGCTGTCCGATGAAGCGTTGTGTCATGACCTTTATCGTCCCGGCTGTGTGATTATTTTAGGTGCACACAGCATGCAGGCATTTGTGTACTTCGGTAATGTTCTTGCTCATTCCTGCTGAGTAGATGCATATCGGCTAGAAGCACGATGACTTTGGGAAGTTCAATCGAAATAGAGGGTTGATCTTGTACAATGCTGCAGGCGGCGCTCTGGGGTGCAGAGTTCCAACACACGCCACTTCTGTAGAGACCACTTCTTGCATGTGCGCGCTAGAATACTTTAATGACGGCTTAACACACTACCGCATATTTTTTAACCGAGGAATGAGAAATGATGCTTACTGTTTCTTGCCATATGTTTGCATGCTTCAAAGAACAAGTCATCTATGGTTGAGTCTGCACGGCTTGTAAACCAATGTGAGCCAGATCAAAGACCTGTTTCACATTTGCACGGGGGTCGAACCTGAGAAACCCATTTCCTAGACCATTCTCAGTAGCTCACAGTTACGCCCTTCTTAAGACTTGAAATCCTCTCCTCTCGGTGCTAGGCGCACGCGAACTTGTGCAGACTATTTCGCGTCACCTTATGTTAAGTCGCCCAGAGATGTGTGGCGTCATAGAAACATCACACGAATTCAGCCTCCTCCATGGCCGTACTGTCTCCAAGATCGATACCCTATGCATTCCTTCGTATGGAGACAGCCCATGCATGAGGGGAGACCAAATTTCAAAACTGCATGCATATTCCATCTGTCGTCGCCGAGGACTTCGCCAGTTATGACATCGAATTGCTGCCAGTCGCTTTCACAGCGTAACGTTCGACGGATGGGCTCGAGTGAGGAAACGGCCGGCAGATTCCGTGTGACGTGATGCTTGTGGAGACACGTCACTCATTTGCAGTGGTCGGAACCCTTGCTATCCAGAAAATCCACTTCTGCTTTCCGGCTTTGCTGCTGCAAGCACTGGCGAATTCGTTCATGATACCAGTATGAAATTGAGGCCGCAAGAAAGCGAATTCGTCAGCTGCAGGTCATGACGAAAAACCGAACCACTCACGGGCACATTCTTCCGTGCGACAAAAGTACAGTATATGGGTGTCCATTCCACGGACTATGCCAACCTGCTGCATGCCCGCTAGAGCCAAGCTGCGCACGCCTTTCGTGACTCCTGCGCTTACCCTTTCGCGACTCCTGCGCTTACCCTTGCGCACACATCGCTCCGTTTGTTATCAGATGTTCGACGCTCTCACTGGCGCGCGCTGCGTGAAAAACGAGAGCGTCTGCGGGACGGTGGCGTGCCGCAGCGCGGGTCGTCACGGCGCCTACGCCGCCGCCTGCGGGCTGTTTCTCCGGCAGTGATGAGCAGTCGGACTGCCTGCACCGGATTGGACACGCATGACCCCTGCCCGCGCCGGCAAAGGCGGCAGACAGCGGAACCACCCATGCTGTGAGGCCCCGAGCTGTAGAAAGCAGCCGCCGGCAGGCTGGGTCCAGGAAGGAGTCGGTGTTTTGAAGGAGCGTGTGCTGTGTTGAAGCCGAGCCGTCCCGATGCGGTGGAGCAAGGCAGATGGGCGCAAATGTTGGTGGGGTGGGCCTGCCGCTACGGTTCAAATAGTTCAGGTCATCAAGGAGCTAGTTATATACGCCCCGTCATCAATTCTAATGCTATCGTCATGCATATGACTTCGCCTGCATTATATTCGGTGACGCGCCAATTTCAGTCGAAAAATCTCTAGATAGACTGGGTCGATTGTGGTATTAAATCAAACTGGCAGCATGAGCATGAAGCCTTTTCTTGTAGAGAAGCTCTGAAAATATTGTCAGTGGTGCGCTCAGATGAGCGATAAGAGAAGTTGGATAAAATGGATTTTGTACTGTCGCGGGTTCACTAGCTTGAAACGACACCTTATCTATCAAATGCGATCCGAGCACCGGCATAATAGGGCATAACTCGATGCACTTAAGCCGCTTTTGTCAGAAATGGATGAGGAGATGTGCTGTTAGTGATGCATGGTATGTTCATTTCTTAATTTGCGGTAAGTCGTCATGCAGTTGATTAAAGGGAGTAAGCTCCGCATT